CACACAACTAGTAAGTGTCTGAAGCTGGATTTGAACTTAGGTCTTCCTGACTCCAGGCCCAGCAAATTATCTACTGAGCCACCAGGTGCCTCTACAGATTCCAGAACTGTGATTTCATTAGTATAGGCAAATCATAAGTAAGGAGACTCCTTCCATCAATGTAGGTCAACATATTCCCAGCTACCAGCGTACCTGTTCTGAGACTTGTCCAGGCTCACACAGCATGTATGTGTAAGTGGTAGGACTTGAACTCACATTTTCCTGGCTTCAAGGCTAGCTCTCTATCCACTACCATACTGCCTCTCTGAACCTACAGAGGGGCTTGCTAAATTGTTATCAACTTTACTTAATATCCTGCCTTTAATAACAAAACCACTTAATTCCTTCCAACCTGCTAAGGAAGTCTTGAGCCAGATAGACAGCAGGCTTAGAGAGAGAGCTCAGGGAGATAAGAAAGTAGGGAGCGCTGGGGGGGGGGCAAGATAGAAATGGAAAAGGAAGGGAGACAAAAAGGGAGGAAAGGAAGGAGACAGATGGGGAGAAATCTGGAGACAAGAAGGGAGATGGGCAGAAGGAAGGTGGAGGGATGGGAGAGAAGAAGCCATACACAAAGGGGGAAGAAGGTGACAGAAGAGGAAAACAGACACAAAGAGGCAGAGAGATGCCTGGCACACAGTAGGCATTTAATAAATGCTTGCTGATTTGACCTGAGAGAGAAGACAGAAGAGAGACAGGGAAACAGAAAAGAGCAGATCAAAAATTACTCTGTTCTGCTTAGCCTGATACTCTGCATTAGTCTGGGGTGATACTGAGCAGGAAATGGGAAGGAGGCATGGGGCATCTTAGCTCCCCCTAACTCAGATCTCCATTATAGAATACTTTCCTGCTACTCTCTTCCTTTCTCTTCTTCCCTTCTTTCTGCCATCACCTCTTCTCTCTTCCATCTTCCTCTTCCTCCATCCCCAGAAGTAAAGAGATGTTCCCTTTATCACCCATGTCCTTTCCTCTTCCCCTCTCTCATTTCTTCCTCTTCTCTTCCTCCTTACCTCCTTTTGCTCCCCCATCTACTCCTTTCCCTTTCCCCTTCATCTCCTCATCCTTCTCCTTCCCCATCATTTTCTCGTCTCCTTTTTTTCCTCCCCCCTTTCTCCCTGTCTCCTCCTGTCACTGCCCCCCCCATTCAATAAACTGCAGGGGCTCCATATCACCTCCAGAATCAAATATAAAATCCTCTGTTTGACATTCAAAGTCCTTCATAACCCTGACCCCTCTTATCTTCTAGTCTTATTACACCTCCCCACCCCACACCCCTTTGAGACACTGACAATAGCCTCCTTGCCATTTTTTAACAAGACACTCCATCTTCTGATGTCCTGCATTTTAACTGGCTGTCCCTCAAGCCTGGAATTCATTTTTTCATCAATCTCCTAGCTTTCCTGGTTTTCTTCAAATCTCAGCTTAAATCTCACCTTCTGCAAGAAGCCTTTTCCAGTCCTCCTTAATCCTAGTGTCTCCCTCTGCAATTACCCCCAATTTATCCTGTATATATCTTGTTTGTACATAGATAGATGTTTATATGTCATCTCCCTCATTAGACTGTTAGCTCCCTAAGAATAGGGATTAGTTTTTGCCTTTATTTGTAACACCAGAGCTTAGCACAGTGCCTGGCACATAGTAGGTGATCAAAAATGCTTGTTGATTAGCCCCTTCTCATATCCTTCTTTCCCCGTCCCCTTAATCTTCTTATTTCCTTCTTTTCCCTTCCCCTTCCTCAGCTCCTACTTTCTCCCTGCTCCTCTTTCCCCTTTCTTCTGGATTCTCATTGTTATTCAGTCATTTCAGTCATGTCCAACTCTTCATGACCCCATTTGGAGTTTTCTTGGCAAAGACATTGGAGTGGTTTGTCATTTCCTTCTCTAGATCATTTTCCATGAGGAATTGAGGCAAACAGGGTTAAATGACTTGCCCAGGGTCATACAGCTAGTAAGTGTCTGAGGTCACATTTGAACTCAGGTCCTCCTGACTCCAAGCCCAGCACTCTATCCGCTTGATGGATTCTCACTTCCCCCTTTTTTCTTCATCTATCTCCTCTCCTACTTGCTTATTCTGTCACTCCTTTCCTCATACTCTCCCTCTTCCCTTTCCCATTTCTTCATGTATTCCTTTACCCTCCCATCCCCCTCCTCTCCTTTTCCTTTCCTTCTTCCCTCTCCCTTCTTCCTTTTACTCCTCTACTCCCTGCACCTTCTCTCATCTTCCTTTCTCCCTCATACAACCTGCCACCCCAGGCCTTTACCCCACCACCACCACCCACCACTGTCCTTGCCAGCATCTCAGATATGAAAAGAGGAAAACAACAGAGCTCTCTTTTCAAAGTTGAAGGAAACAAGATCCTCCTTCCTCTTGGTCCTACCCCGCACCATTCTGTTCCCTAAGGGGAAAGGAAAGGAGAGGTGTGAGAAATTTGGAGAAGGTAAAGTCATTCAGAAGTACTTCAGAAGAAGAAATAAAGAAAAGGGTATTGTGGAAAGATCATTAGTTTGGACCTAGTTTCATATCAACACTCTGCCACAAACTTCCAATTGGACCTTAGGCAAGACATTTCCCTCTCTGAACCTCAGTTTCCTCATTTGAAAAAAATGACTAATATCTGTATTGCCTATCTGAGGAAAGTGCTTGTGAACAGTCTAGAGATGGGAGCCCTTGACTACAGTTGATGTGTCCTTCTCTCCTCTCGGGGCTGGGGAAGGGGAGAGTGGACTCCCAAGGATGACTCATTGAATGGGAGAGAACATGTCCCAGGGAGCTCCCAAAGGCTTGGGAAATGGTTGCAGCCCTAAGTTCATAGGCTCTGCCTTCAGACTGACCTCAGATAGAGACACTGAAGCCACAGGGAAGAGAGGGATAACAGCTCAGATAAGGTCACAGCAGGTGGTAGAGCAAGTTTTCTCCCCTCAAAGTCCTAGAAGAATTTCTCCCTCTCCCCCTTGTTTTTCATTTCTCCTTGCCTTCACACTTGTTCACACATACCGTCCCAACAAACACACTTATGTCAACACACAACTCACACAAATGATATAAACTACTGATATATCACACTCACCCCACCCAGAGCTAGAAGCATCCAACGGACCTTAAATTCCCAACACACCCACTTTGGGGACAAAGTATCCAACTAATAACATGAACACAAAACATGTGATTGAATATATAGCCAAAAGTGCATATATACCTTCTACATGATCAGAACACATTTACAATATAAACTACCAAAGGGGATACACACAGGACTCCTCCCAAAAAAATCTCCCTCCCCAGCAACATATAAAATAAATAACAAATACAAAACATACACTCATACATAGTTGTATATCGAGACTCACAACCCAAACTGCAATGATACCAAAGCCTAGCCTTAACTGCCACCACACCTCATTCTCATTCTCTGTCTCTGTCTCTCTGTCTCTCTGTCTCTCTCTCTATCTCTATCTATCTATCTATCTATCTATCTCTATCTCCCCCCCATCATACACTGCCATACATACATGATATACGCACCAGTACTCAAACACCAACACATTCACAAACCATACCCAGACTTTGGACGTTCAGTCCTCTCCCCAAGTGGACATTATGACCCCACACACATACACACACACACACACACACACACACACACAAATAGACATACAAGCCATGTTCCCTCTAGGGCATTCATAGATTATAGGACCATAGATTTAAAGCAGGAAAGAACCTTAAAGATATAAAGTTCAACCCCCACATTTTATAAATAAGGAAACTGAGGTGAAGTGATTTGTCCAGGGTCACAGGATTTGAACCAAAGGTTCTCCAAATCCAGTGACCTTTCAATTATACCCATGCTGCCTCTCAAATCCATACCCAACTACCCCTCAAGTCCTACTTGTCCCTAAAGGAAACTGCACAGGGACACAAAACACAGTGTACACCAGAACACACACACACACACACACACACACACCACATCCTGGTGTGATACCTACCTCCTCATATCAGCACAACACAATACAAATACAACTGAAGGTACTCTACACACACAATACAAAGTATATAAACCCAGACATAGCAACCACCAACACACAACATCCAAGACCCACATATACGCGTGCACACACACACACACACACACACACACACACAAACCAGCCCATATTCACACCTGGAGATACTCCCTCCAGGTGTCTTCACCTGTCTCTAAAGGTGTTATCTATCCCCTGGACTGAATGGATCCGAATCTTCCCCACCCCCACCATGGGGCCGTCTGATTCTCCCCAATATCCGCTCAGGGAAGAAAGGATTGGGGCAGAGGCCAAACAGAGCTATGGAAAGAGGGTGGGGTGGAGAGGGCAGAGAAATTAGACTATGTATGGGGGGGGGGGAGAAGATGGAGAGAGGGAGGAGAGGAAAGGGGAGGGAGAGATAGAAGGGGAAGGAGAGAGAAATGGGAGGGAGGGAGAGGGAGGGAGAGAGAGAGAGAGAGAGCGAGAGAGAGGATAACAGATGGGGGTAAGACTTGGGAGGGAAGGAGAGAGGCAAAGAGAGAAGAAAGGAGGAAGAGATAAGAAGTGAGACCGATTTAAAGCAAAAGGGCTAGGAGCGTTGGGATCCAAGGATTATGGGTCTTCGGAATCAAGAATAAGAGATATGGGGATGGAAAGGAAGTAAGGACTTCAGGATGGGAAGAGTAGGAGCTCTGGGATAAGGGGGTGATAGGGCGTTTTGAGATCACAGATTTTAGTGCTTTGGGATCTGGGTTTCAGAGGCTCTTTGGGTTGAAGGGATTGGGCACTTCAGGATCAGGGGCTTAGGCACTTGGAAATCGGGCTTTGGGACAGGAGGCTAGGGTACTTGGAGGGAATTCAGCTCTTAGGTGCTTGGGTCCCCGAGTCCTACGGAGTCCGGGAGTGCCTCCCCCACCCACCGCGGTCACGCACCCCCACCCCGGCCCGCGCCTTCCTTACCTGCAGGGTGTCGGCGCAAGGCTGCTGCGGCGGCGGCGGCGGCGGTGGCGGCTCTTCGTCCGGCTTCAGGAAGACCTGCTGGCCCCGCCTGAGGAATTGGACAACGGCAATGAGGATGTGCTGCAGCACCAGGACCATGCTTGCAACCGCCCACCTGCCCGCGAGCCAGCCTGGCCAGCGCTCCGCTCCCTCCGCTGGCCAAGCTCTCCCCGGCCCGACCAGCTGCGCTCCTCCCTCTGGGCCCGCCCCAGGCTCCGCCTTCCCCAGGCCGGCCCCGCCCCTCCCCGCCTCCCCGCGCCTTCCCTCCCGCTCCTCTCCAGGCTAAGCTACTGGCTTGCTCACACCCACCCCGGGAAAGTGCATCCCCCTCCCGGGAGGCTTCTGCTCCCCCAGCTCCGGAGGCGCTCGCGCCCTCCTGGCAAGATTCCATACCCCCTCTACTGCCTCAGCCCGGCTCGCGCCCTCCTGGGAGAGTTCCATTTCACCCCTGCCTCCCTCACCCCACCACGTCTCCCCCAGTTTCGCGCAGCGCAACGTTCCGAACGTGGCCCGAGACTGCGAGTGCGGTCGGAGGGCCCGATAGGCCCGGGACAGGCCGCGTGAAGCCTGGAAGTAGCCAGGTCTCAGGATGGACGTTGGAAATCCGAGACACCAGCCACCTCCCCAGAGTTCCCCCCTACACCACACCCTGGGGCCAAGCCTTGGGCAGTGGGGAAGAAAGGGCCCAGGTGGAAGAAAGCAGTACCATTAAGCACCTCGTGTGTGTAGAGCTACAAAATTTAGAGAAGTCCCCCAGCCCCAGTCCTGTTCGGTAAAGCTTACAGAGACAATCTAATACGGAGCTATCTATACCTGTCGGGACCTTGCACTTTGGGGACCCTGGAAAGCAGGCCCAAGGAAGCCTAGTAAGTTGCACAAGGTCATACAGCATAAAAATCCAATCCACGGAGTCCACAAACACAGGGACTCCTGGGTTCTTGCTCTCCCCATGCCAACACCGGGAAAGAGGTAGAATCAGGGATGTGCTGGAGCCACCTAGAACCCAGCAAGTAGATTGTTAAATTTTCAATGTGAGCATTTACACCTTGAAAATCAGCAAAGGCCACAAACCAAAGCCTGATTTATTGTTTTGTTGATTGTCTAGGCTTAAGAAAGTGTTAGAGATTAAACTTGAAAGTGTGTCTAGCAACTTTCCCCTGAGGGCAGTTTAAGTATTTACCAGCACACTCTGGGGAGAACCAAAGAATCAAAGTATGAGCTGTCAGGGCTCTTGGCCATCTTCAAGTCCAACCCTTTGTTGTGCAGATGAGGAAACTGAGACCCAAAGTGGGAAAAGGACCTGTTCGAAGCCACAAAGAGAGGCTGGAGGTAAGTATGAACTAGATCTGGTGAAACTCTGCTCCCAGTGCAGAATTCTTAGTGTTATACCATGTCATATTGAGGGGGAGGGCATGGATTAGAAGGGAGAAGTGCCTGGCATGGCTTCTAAGGCACAAAAAAGTGAAGGCATTTAGGAGAGGAAGAGAGAGAGCTTACAGATTCAACTAGCAATGGGACCAAGAAGCTGAAAGCTTCCTCCAACTGAATTTCAGCTCCCATAATTCGCCTCTGCCCCCTGCTGTCCCTATTAAATCACACAACCAGGTTGTATTTGTAGCCAGGGAGAAAGAGAAGCCACTTGGAAGGGCCCCAAGTGGGTCCAAACCCTCAGGGGTCATTAGGTCCACATGCCTGGGCAAGACTCTACTCCATCTCTGAGGAAGGTCTCCTGGATCATGTCTATTCCAATGTGTCCCAAGACTTGATTCAGTGAAAGGCTACCACCACCAGGCTCTTGCCTCTAGGCAGGAGCTCACCAGACTCCCAGCACAAGTAGGGGAACCAACAGCCTTTCATCTGACATCAGCCCTTCCAGCAAGGCAGCAACCTTAACGCAGTTTTTTATGGATTCAGGGCTCCACTCAACCCCCATATCTGTACCATAGTGTTCTTCTCCCTGACTTGCTCTTCACACAGAAAGCACTTGATAAATATTCGTCATATTGCATTGTATCTTGTCTCCCTTACTAGACTTTTTTGAGGGTAGTAATCATTTTAAACATAAATCCCACAGTTCTTAGCATGTGCCACATACTTCATGAGCATTTTACTAACTGGCTAGAATGATTGCTAAGATTTACTAAGGAAAAATGTAAAGTCTTATGCTTGGATGCAAAAAAAAAAAATCAACGTCACAAGTACAGCACAGGTGAACAGTAAGTTGTTTATGAAAAAATATGGAGGTCTTAGTGAACCAACCATTCAATATGATTGAGCAGCACCCTCTCCCCTCGCCAAAACAAAACAAAACAAAACAAAACAAAAAAACTAATGAAATCTTAGACAACACAAGCATTTGGTGTCCAGAATGAAGGAGACAATAGCTCCACTGTCCTCTGCCCTGGTCAGGCTATATCTGGAGTATTGTGCTTAACTCAGGGAAGGGACTAGAGGAGAATAAACATTTCTTTAGCGCTTATATGCTAAGCACTTTACAAATAATCTCATTTTATCCTCACAACATCCCTACAAGTTGGATGCTGTCATTAGCCCCATTTTAACAGATAGAGAAACTGAGACAGAGGGGTTTGGGTGGGGTTTTGGGGGGGGGGTTTTGTTTGGTTTTGGTGGGGTTTTTTTGTTTTGTTTTTTTAGTAACATAGCATAGTAACATAGTCTGATGCTGGATTTGAACTCGGGTCTTCCTGACTTCAGACCCAGTGCTCTATCTACTGTGCCAACTAGCAGCCTCGGCTGTCATATGGGTGTTTTGCATGCTGAAAACAGGAGTGGGGATGGAAGAAAAGAAAGGGCAGTGATAGATATCCCCATGAATTTAAAGTGATGTCACATGGAGAAAGGATTATACTTGTTCTTCGTGGCCCCAGAGGGCAGAACTAAAAGCCATGAATAGGGTGAATGATGGAGAGGCGGGCTGAGGTTCAGTACAAGGGAAAGCTTCGTCTCAGTTAGAGCTGTCTCAGTGTGGAATGAGCTGTCTCAGGGGATGGTGAGTGAGCCTCCACTGGAGGTCTTCACGCACAGTCTGGGATACTGTTCAAGTTCAAGTGAAGGTCCCTTCCGGCTCTGAGATTCAGCAATGGATCCTCCTACCCTCCCACTCCCTCACTCTGGGTGTTCATGAATATGCCCAGTTTCCTGCTCTGCTCCCCAGATATTTCAGAAATTGAGCTCTGCCTTATTCCCCCAACTCCTTCCAGGGATAAGAGTCATTCCTCTGAGCCCCAGGCCCTTCCACATACCACCAGACCTCCCCCGGTGTCCACCTTTCAGGACCTCTCTGGAATTAGAGGCAACATGAATGCCATAGTGGAAAAGGAAAGCTGAATTCGAATCCTGCTTGAGAATCTTACTAGTTGTGGGACCATGGACAAGACATTTCACTCCATTAAAGCCTCAGTTTCCTTATCTGTAAAATGGCAAAATGATACTTGCACAACTCATCTCACAGGGATGTTAAGAAGAAAGTGTTCCACAAACCTTAAGAGGTTACAGAAATTTGAGTTGTTACCAACTATGAAATGTGAGCCATTGTAAATAGCACCTTCCACTCTCTGGACCTCAGTTTCCTCTTTTGCAAAGTGTACTACCTTGAGAGAGTAAAAGGCTTTGTAAATGATGAAACACTATAGAAATGGGATGTATTACTGTGATTGACACACACAGCTATCCTCTGTATGCCAACTTAGATGTCCACTTCCTGTCTACCTGTCAGAACTTGGATCTCCTGACATGGTACCGCCACCATTCCTATTTATTCCTCCTTCAGATCCCCCTAATGCAGACACTTGCCTACTAAAACCTGAGATTCCCCTGACACTGTGTTCCATTACTCTGCTAGGACCTTCCACCATCTGCCAACAGAACCCATTAATGCCATGCTTCCGCCCACCTATCAAGACACCCCTATGATGCCCCTCTTTGTTCTACTGTTATTCTGTTGATGTTGCCTACCAGCAGAAACTTCAGATAACCCTGATTTTCTGCTCCATCTCCTACTAGAACACAACCAAAACCCACCTGATGCCAACTGCCTACCTGCCAGGACCTCAGATGAATCTCCGTCCACCTGCTGGAATAGCCCCTACTCCTCCATACCCCCACCCCCATCCCAGGCACCTCTAATGTTGACCATAGCATTTAGGACAGCAAAACCAGAAGGGACCTTAGAGTTATCTAATCCAATCCCCTCACTAAGATCATATACTCTAGAATAAGAAAGAGTTCATCTAAGCCCAGGGTCCTTAATTTGGGGGTCCAAAAACCCATCAAGAGGTCCATGGGTTGATTTCAGGAGGTCTATAAACTTGGATTGGGGGAATAATACATCTTTATTTACACTAATTTCTAACTGAAATTTAGCAGTTCCTTCAGTTATGAATTTTTTTACAAATTTTTAATAAAGTTCACCAGACTGCCAAGGAGGTCTCTGACACACAAAATGGTTAAGAACCACTGATCTAAGCCAAATTCCTTATTTCATTCAAAGAAAGAAACTGGGGCTTATATAGTAGAAAGAACAATCTCAAGATGAGCAGCAGAGCCCAAGTTCCCTGCCTCCGGATCCAAAGTGGTTTCCACCACACTACCCTAGATAAGTAAGGAAGTTTAGGGCAAGAAACGGAAAGTGACTGACATGCTCAAGGTCACACCCCAAGCCAGTCAGCAGCAGAGTCAGGGCTTCTTCAAACTCATTCTAGAATTAGATTATAGATTATAGGTCTAAAGCTGGAAGGAATTTTAGCATTTGCCTAATCCAAAACCCTCATTTTGTGAAGGAGGAAACAGAGGCTCAGAGAAATGAAGTGATGCCCACAGGCAGTAAGTGGCAAAGCCAAGATTCTTTGGACTCCTTATTTAGGGCTCATACCCTAACACCCTAATGCCTCCCAACCGGTGCCTTTCCATTACATCAGGATTTGTCCATTTCCTCGTTGCATTCTTCTGGAGGGACCACCCATGCATATCTTGAACATGCCCTGATCATCTGCCTTGTCCGTCCCTGTGGTCTGGTCTTCTAGTCCAACTATTCTCTGATTGTCCCCACCCACAGCCAGCTGTGCCTCAGTGACGTCAGA